TCCCATTCATTTCCTTTCGGTACATATTTCTGATAACATAATTTTATTATCGCAGGTTAAAGATGTTCCGTCGAAAGAAATCGGTCAGTGGACACATCGTGTGCGGCTTTTGACACAAATTTTTCATATCTATCCAAAGCCCTTTTGTCCACCTGTTTTCCGTCACTTATCGAAATAACATTTTCATTTGGATTTTTCTTTGGCCAGCAGTTTGTTTACGCATCCCAGATAACACAGCCGTCGCCAAACACACCCGATTCCTTTATCCACTCAGAATTTCCCTGTCATTGTAATGACACTCTTTCGCCATTTGTTACTTATCAAAATATCCTTTAACCATTGTCTCTTAGCCGGGGTGTTCTGCTTATCATCCACGTTTTGGGTCTCGCCTCTTTTTTTTTTCCTTCTTTTCTTTCTTTTCTTTTTCTGCCTCGGTAAATGGTGCCACACTGTAGCTATTTTCACAGTTTTCAGTATTGATAGAGGTTTCCTTCCTAACCAATCGTTTGAAGTACTCTGGAATGTCAACATCTTGATTATGTCATTATTTTCTCTTTACAAGCCCAGTAGCTGTTATCACACTTTCCAATATTGGTAGAGGTTTCCTTCCTAACCTTATGTTTGAAGTAGTGTGGAACGTCAACATTTTGATTATATTATTATTTTCTAAGTCACCAATTCTGACTTTCACATTCCATGTTCACGTAACTATATATCCCCATTTCCTGCATGTTCCTTTGATAAAAAAGTAGGTTTCTCTCAGATAGCTTCTTCCCCAAAACAGGCACATAGAAGATCATAATCCCGAGAGAATATTCGGCTTACAACTAGAAAGATATTTTAAATGTCAACGTTTTAGCCTTATGTGAAACTAGTTGTCCAAACAACGGAGATTTTGTCAGTGATAACCAATGGATTATATATGCTGGCGGAGAAAAATGAGAAGGAGTTGAACTGATACTAGATCAAGGCATGAAGAAATCCATTCTGGGTTACTGACAGTTATCTGAATTTATTTAGTTATAAACCGAAAGGAAAGCTTTTCAACATATTTATTATAAGAGTGTATGTACCGACAACACAAAATATAGCAGAAAAATGAAAAAGGAGTCGGATTGATACTAGATCAAGACATGAAGAAATCCGTTCTGGGTTGCTGCCAGTCATCTGAATTCTTTTAGTTAAACTGAAAGGAAAGCTTTTCAACATATCTATTATAATAGTGTATGTACTGACAACACAAAGGATGGCAGAAGAATGAAAAAGGAGTTGAATTGATACTAGATCAAGACATGAAGAAGGGAAGCTTTTCAACATATCTATTATAATAGTGTATGTACCGACAACTCAAAATATGGAAGAAGAATTCGAATCTTTCTAATCTATGCTAGACAAGGCCAAGTGACAATGCAAATCACAAGAATTTATAATTATCGTGGGAGACCTGAATGCCAAAGTAGGCAATGGTTAGGGGAGATAGCTGGCAAATTCGGACTCGGGACCGTCAACGAACGCGGAGAGAAATGGGTCCAATGGTGTACGGCCAATTACCAGAAAATGTCCATATCTTCAAATGAAAATATGGACATTTTCCTATATATTTCAGTGAAATTTTTGTTTTCCAAAACTATAGTTAAAATGAGAAAAGAGGGCTTGGAAAACCCAAATCCAACTCTGGAGTCAATTTAAACGGGCGCCATATATTGTGACAGCTTTGATTAAACTTCTTTTTGTTTCTTGATTTCAGACGAAAACCTGGAAACTTCACTGAATGTGTCCTTTTCAAAAATTATAGTTTAAATATATTATAACTACTAGAAAGACCCGTGAAAATGTCACCGTTTTCCTGGTTTCTGATGAATCTTAACTAAAATAATGATTGAATAAGCTCATAGCGATTTCTACAATATGATATATCCATAGAAATTCCTCTATAGCATCGGTAAATATTTGAGCTTAACAACTTTAACAAAATATGGCAATAACAATCATAAATTTGAATGATTGTCGTTATTTTAAGAAATGTTTAAAAATTAAAAGATTTGAAATTGACAGCTTTAATTTGACTGAAACATTTGTTAAACAATTCTGTCTTCCCTTCTTTCTTTCGTTCGTTCCTTTTCTGACTGAAACTAAGTAGTGCCTTTTCCCCTCTTTCCACGTGATCAAAACGAAACAGTCCATTATTTATGAGATATTTGCAGAAGCTAAAAACTGATATCTTTCCTTCTTTCTTTCTTTCATTTCCTCACTGAAACCAAGTAGCGTTTTTCCCCTGTTTTCACGAAAAGAGTCTAAAAAAATGAGACTTTTATTGCGGTCGATATGTCAACTCGGCATTTCAGCCGAGATCAAAGTGTAGTATCTGTTCTTGTCAGCTTAATCTAATTTTCTATCTCTCTTCTAACTTCAATTCTTTCTTTCATTTTCCCACTGAAACCAAGTAGCGTTTTCCCCTTTTCATGAAAACAGCTTCAAAAAATGACACTTTTATTGCGATCCCCATTACACTCAACCTTTCAATTGAGATGAAAGTGTAGGATCTGTTCTTATCAGATTAATCTGATTCTCTATCTCCCTTCTATCTTCTATTCTCGCTTTATTTTCTCACTGAAACCAAGTAGTGTTTTTCCCCTCTTTTCACGAAAAGAGTCTAAAAATGAGTTTTTATTGCGGTCGCTATGACAACTAGGCATTTCAGCCGAGATCAAAGTGTAGTATCTGTTCTTATCAGCTTAATCTGAATCTCTATCTTCTTTCTATCTTTCATTCTTTCTTTCATTTTCTCACTGAAACCAAGAACTCGACCAAAACGCGGAATAGTCGATTGTTTATGATGTATTGCAAGGTCGTGCTAACTAACAAAGGGAACAAGCACAATTATAGTAGAACAGTTTTAACTGATGCCTGGAGGATATGGCTTAAGATGAATGGAGTACAAGTCAAAAGATCTGCTCACGGCATTTAATAAAAAATTAAAAATTTTCTCTCCAGAATCTATCTTATATATCTATAAGAATAATGCTACCACATATGATCCGGTGCTCCTGTTATTTACCTTGAGCCCCTTGACAAGATCCAAAGAAGAATCTGCAATATTATTGGTCCTGATCTGGCGGCTCGGCTCCAGTCACTTTCCCACCGCCATAAGGTTGTTTCTCTATGTCTTTTCTACAAATATTTTCATGGTCATTGTTCGAATGAACTATTTATTATGGTACCTAGAACTTTTGAATTTAAGCGCAGTACTAGATTTGCGTCGAGATCTCATCAATTTGCACTTGAGCTGGCTAAATGTAGCCATAAATTCTATGCTATCAGTTTCTTCTCTCATACTTCTGGCTTCATCCTCTCCAGGGCAAAAATTTAAATGCAATGTCAATCGCTATCTACATTGATGTTTCTGTGCCTAATTCTTCCACACCCTGTAACCCCTTGTGTTTTAGTGGCATTACTGCTTTGCATGGGGTGATTCAGATTAAAATAAATAAATAAATAATTTAAAATTATTACGAACATTTTCCATTCAAATAGTATTTTCCTTTATTTTAAATATCATCATTGAATGGATAAAGATTGTCTTGCACCATTTCCTTCGATATCTTTTCTTGAGTGAACTTTGATGTAACCATAATGTATTTCCCCCTCCCGATGATATCTTTTGAAGAGAATCTTGCTGAACAAGTTTCTAGTTTCACGAATAACGAACGTGTTTAATATGTCACGCAAATCATTTCAACTGCATTTTTCTATAGAACTATCCTATTTAACACTTTCAAGAAAGAATTAGGAAACTCACATCCAGAGTAACATTACTAACAGAATTCAAAGCTTTTCAAACCTGATTTTTTTTCGGCAATGATTTAAAAAAAAAAATGTTTTGCCCTTACGGCAAAAAGATCAACATTTTATTTCTAATATGTTACTTTCCAAAAAATAAATTCCAATTTTGAAACATTCAAAACGACTCTTTTTTTTTAAGTCCACAGTGGAGGAAACAAATATTCGTACACACACAAATTTTTTAATTTCTTGTATTTCCAACTAATGAATAAGCATATTTTTCATATAATTAACAGTTGCTGCATTTCAAGTTTCCTTTGCTAGAACACGGGGAATGCTTGACAATTTCGTTACAGAAGACGTGTACATTTGAAGCAACAGTGATGTAGTTCTACTAAGAACAATATGAAAAGAACTTGCAACGATAGAAACAAACGGAAGATTTCGTCAGAATCCAAAATAATAGGGCTAAACAATTATGTAATATTAGCCATACTATATGCTGTACAATTTCTTCACGTATGAAGAGGAGAGTTGAGAGCAGAAGGATGCTGTAAATGCCATAGACGGAACATGTGAGCAATGAGGAAGTTTTAAGGGGAATAGAAACAAAAAGAATACTTTTACTCAAAACCAGAAAGGGAGTGCTGAAATTTCTGGGACACATAATTAAGAAACTGACTGCAGAATTTGATATAACCTGGCTTATTAAAGGGAAAACAGTGCTTGTCAAAATGGATCTCAGAACAGGGATTGGCAGGGGGCAAAATCAAAATCAGTTGGAGATCCCATGCAACCCCTAACACAATTTACGGAGAACTGGGACCAATCTCCCTTAAGCACAAACAAAAACGATTACAGTTTGCCGGCCACTGCCACCGAACGGACAGAGAAATCGTCTCATTCTTACTCGTATGGCATCCTCCTGGAAGAGTCTTCTCACGAAAATTGACTTTCCCAGAAACCATAGTTCGAGACTTAGGGTTGAAGATTGAGGATTTGAGAATACAATTCAGGACTGAACAATATAGAAAGGGATTGTTAATGAAGTTCCGACCAAACATAGGAAGGTCGAAGGATGATGATGTCGATGAAGGGGAAAACACTGCTTTGAGCCACAAAAGATAAGAAATTGTGCATGATATATAGAGTCAACTCTCCTGTCACTGCACTTGGACTGGGATCAATGCGTAGTATCTGTTCTTCGCTTGAAAAAAATGGAGAAGCCAACAGCGGCTCCCTCATATAGTAAGTTAACTCTCCCTCCACTGCACTTGAACTGGGAGAAACTTCCAGAGATACCAACCTTGAAACAGTATCTCCTTCATTGTACTAAATAACGTGGTTTTGCTTGATACTAAAACCAGAAAAGTGGTTGCGTAACCTGGGCAGTTTGGCTCTTTTGTCTATATGTACTCATATTAAACTGACCATGTGCCACATACCACCTAGGGATGTGGATATATTTCCTCAATTATCTGACTTTCTGTTTAAGATAAAAGTGTAGTATATATTCTCAATTTTAAGCTATTGTTCATCCAATACATGGCTCAAGAGCCACTTAAGGTAGAGGGTTACTGAATTTCGATATTTTATGGACGTAGAAGGGTAAGCAATGCAGATTATGAGAATATGCAGGATAGATAATGGTAGCCCCTGGACTTGACAAGATTAATATTCTAGTGGTCAGAAGTGCAGAAAAAACACCGAATTTTTTATGTAATTACCGTCCTTCTATATTCCCATAGATGAAGAGACTTGAATCAAGAGTAATGTCGTTCTACAGAAGGATGTTGAGAATACTGCGGATCGAGCATGTGAGCAACGACGAATAAAATGTACAGAAAAGGACGTTTAATTTTAGCATCAGGAAGAGACAGTTAGAATTTCTAGGTTGCATAAGGAGGAAAGAAGGCTTGGAAAATTTGATGCTCACGGGGGAGATTGAAGGCAAGAGAGACAGGGGAAAGCAAAGCATAACAAGAGAGTCTAAGTAAATGAATGGCAGAACAGTGCTTAGGAGAGATAACAAAAAGATGAACTTACTAAGCGCTACAAAGCACATGGAATTTTCGAGAACAATGATCGTAGGAAAGTGCGACACTGAAATCCAAATCAGTTATCGAAACATACCTCCTAAAAGAAACTTGAAAATATCGTTAGAAACAAAGAGAAATGTTCTGATATAGTATATATATGTCCTCCTCCTTGCATTGAATTCAATTCATGTATGCGCCATACGTGATACACGTAGTAGGTTGCCATTTCTTTCTGCGGTAGACCAGTTGCTATCCAAGGCTATAAAACCCGGTCTGTTCTTCTGGGGAGAAGAAGAGGATTCATATTATTTCCAAAGGGAATTAGCACATAAGTTAATGTAATGGATGCGATTGAAAAGTCAGTCAGTCAGTTATGTGCCACACGTGATACACGCTTAGGTGATCTTTCGATACATGACTGACGAGGCAGTTTTTTTCCCGCAGTAGGTTGCCATTTCTTTCTGCGGTAGACACGTTGCCATCCAAGGCTAGAAAATCCTGTCTGTCCTGCTATTTAGCCACAGCTGAGGGGAGAAGAAGAAGATTCGTACCTTCCCCAAGGATATTAGAACGAAAGTGAATGTAATGGATTCGACTGGAAAGTCAATCAGTCAGTTATGTGCCACACGTGATACACGCTTAGGTGATCATGTATCTTTCGATACATGACTGACGAGGCAGTTTTTTTCCCGCAGTAGGTTGCCATTTCTTTCTGCGGTAGACCAGTTGTCATCCAAGGTTATAGAACCCGGCCTGTCCTACTATTTACCCATAGCGGAGGTAGAAGAAGAGGATTCATACCTTTCCCAAGGGTATTAGCACGTAAGTGAATGTAATGGATTCGAATGGAATTCGAACTCGACTCTCCGATTCCTCACTGTTGCAATATATGGTCTAGTTCCCTCGCTGTTCATCTCGAGGTCCTCGACAAAATCCAGAGACGAATATGCAATGTGATAGGTCTTAATCTGGCATCTCGTCTACAGTCATTTTCTCACGGACGTGCTTTTTTGTCACTCTGTCTTTTCTACAAATATTTTCATGGCAACTGCTCTGACGAGCTACATTCACTGGTACCCAAACTGCATGATACTAGGTTGACATCTCAGTGTCACTCTTTCACTGACGAAACACTATAATGTAACCACCAACAGCGTCTTCTCTCACACTTCCCGACAGTGGAACTCCCTTCCTCTTACTTGCTTCCATGATAGCTACAATCTTCAAATATTCAAATGTAATGTCAATCGACATCTTCTGATCCCTTGATCCTGATCCCCGTCCTTCTCCTTATCTTTTCCTCAAACAACCCTCTTTACTCTTACTCTCACTCTCTATAACCCCTTGCTTACTTGTAGCACTCTCGCCTTGCTTGGGGTGAAATGCTTTAAAACATCTGTTAGCAAACAAAGGAAAACTTCCTCACAGATGAAGAAGAAATTTGAAGCAACAGAGATGTGGTTCTACAGAAAGATGCTGAGAATATCATGCAACGAACATTTGAGAAACGGCGAAGTCTTAGAGAAAATGAGAAAAAAAAGGACATTTATACTTGGCAACATGAAGAGACAGTTGAAATTTCTGGGGCACATAATGAGGAAAGAGGGCTCGGAAAAGTCAGTACTCAGAGTGAAGGCAAGAGAGACAGAGGAAAACAACGCATCACCTAACTAACGCGCTTATGTAAATGGATGGCGTAACAAAAGAGAGTTAACAACATTTAATAAGAGATATAAAGAACAGGAAATTGTGGAGAGTCATAACCGCCAATGTCCTGAAGGTATACAGCACATAGAAGAAGAATAAACCAAACAATAGATACGAAACTATGATTTAAAAAAAAATGAGTTTTATGTTCTGATGGCTTGAAGCGTTCACATATAAGGTGGGGAAAAATGAGGTCAACACTCTGAGAACATTTCCAAGTAGGGACCATAAAATTTTTATTTTGAATGCCTCTAATTCTCCAAGGAAATTATAGCTGGAAACTAAGAAGAACTTTTTTAAATGCACCCCCCCCCACACACACACACAATTACTTTAAATTGTCAGCTTAGTTCTTTAATTATCCTTTTTCGTAAACTGTTGACATCTACTTAAAAGTTTTATTGTTCAGTCGTTCATGGCGTATTTTTGGAGGCGGAAATGAAAGAATCGCTTAAATGCAATAAAAGTGAAAAATAATGACTGAGAAGAAAAAAAAAACATCTTCGGTAACATTTGACAAATTTCTGCTGTTATCATTTTTGGAAGAAATTAAGATTTGAGACGAAAAGAATTCTGATAATTCCGAAGAAGTACTTTCCTAACTGTCTCGCTCTCTCTAATTCTATCTATCTATCTATCTATCTATCTATCTATCTATCTATCTATCTATCTATCTATCTATCTCAGCCTTTCACATCTATCTATCTATTTATCTATCTATCTATATCAGCCTTTCACATCTATCTATCTATCTATCTATCTATCTATCTATCTATCTATCTATCTATCTATCTATCTATCTATCTCAGCTTTTCACTTCTATCTATCTAGCTATCTATCTATGTATCTCAGCCTTTCATATCTATCTATCTATCTATCTCAGCCTTTCAAATCTATCTATCTATCTATCTATCTATCTATATATCTCAGCCTTTCACGTCTATCTATCTATCTATCTATCTATCTATCTATCTATCTATCTCAGCTTTTCACTTCTATCTATCTAGCTATCTATCTATGTATCTCAGCCTTTCATATCTATCTATCTATCTATCTCAGCCTTTCAAATCTATCTATCTATCTATCTATCTATCTATATATCTCAGCCTTTCACGTCTATCTATCTATCTATCTATCTATCTATCTATCTATCTATCTCAGCTTTTCACATCTATCTATCTATCTATCTATATATCTATCTATCTATCTATCTCAGCTTTTCACTTCTATCTATCTACCTATCTCAGCCTTTCATATCTATCTATCTATCTATCTATCTATCTATCTCAGCCTTTCAAATCTATCTATCTATCTATCTATCTATCTATCTATCTCAGCCTTTCAAATCTATCTCAGCCATTCACATCTATCTATCTATCTATCTATCTATCTATCTATCTATCTATCACAGCCTTTTACATCTATCTATCTATCTATCTATCTATCTATCTATCTATCTATCTATCTATCTATCTATCTCTCAGCCTTTCACATCTATCTATCTATCTATCTATCTATCTATCTATCTATCTCAGCCTTTCACATCTATTTATCTATCTATCTGTCAGTCTGCTCATATATATTTCATAATAATCGCCTACATCATATATATACATACATGTATGTGTGTGTATGCGTAGGTCAGTATGCGTATGTGTGTGTATCAGTCTGTTCACATCTATCACTCTGTTCATATCTATCTACTTATCTTCTTTAGTTTATATTTATCTATTACTCTCTCCCGCCCACAGCCTCTCTCTGTCTTCCTTTCTATCTATATTTATATATATTTCATTGAATACGGCAGACAAGTTGGGTTTTGAAAAATGAAAACGCTATATAAATACATACATGCAACAAACTATTTCTTATTTAACAGTTAAAATACTTAATCCTTGAAAATAGCCAAATGTATAGCCGAAAGCGCTCGGATAAAAAGAACATTCGGACAGTTTTTATATAATTTAACATCTGAAAAGAAAACAATTAGTAGATCGCATGAGAAATTGTATAAAAACTAAATTTTTTAAAAGCACCTTGTCTGTCGTATTCAATAAAATGTCCATGAAAGAAGTATTGCTGCTTAAATACACAAATTTATTTATATATATATATATATATATATATATATATGCTTATATAATTATAGATATATATATATATAGTATAGTCGGTTAGTCGGAGACTGTCTGTGAGAAAAAAACACCATGATGCAATCCACTCTGCAAATCGGAAAGAGTTGGATGATGATAAGGTATGGCAGCCCGAAAAATTCTCTATCATATTTCTGATATGAAAAGAACACCCGAATTTGTTGGTGAGGGCCTCCGACTCAACACGGAGGTCTACATTCAAGTACCTTGAGGACGTAATGCTTCCATGGGTCAAGAGAGCCAATTTCTGCTCCCACATCACGCCTTATATCCGGCCACCTCTCTCCCTAGACTGCAATCCCCTTGATTATTATGTGTGGAGTGCACTTGATCGAGAGACTAACAAAACTCCTTGTATGACCAAAGATGAACTGAAGGCAAGGATCATCCGCAAGAGATGCAGGAGTTTCCGAAATCGTCTGGAGGCTGTGGCTGAAACCAATGTCGATTTTATTGAATAAATTTATTCTTTAGTATTGTGTAATTTTGGTAAATATATCTAATAAAATGAGTTATTTTCATTTTTCCGTAATTTAAACGACAATTTATACACTCTGTATATATATATATTTGTATATACATTTGTATATAGATATATAATTTTGTATATATATATATATATATATATATATATATATATATATATATATATATATATATATATATAAGAAATGGACAAAAGTCCGACAATTTATTAAAGACATTTTATGTTTAACATTCTTTTTTATAGATACAAATATTTAAGTAAATGTCCGAGAAATTTTCATAGAAAATATCCTTTCAAAGGACGAATATTTTCTATGAAAATTTCTCGGACATTCAGGCCGGTAAATGTTATTTAATAGTGTTTATTATAAACAGAGCATTTACTAAAATACGTGTATCTATAAAAAGAATGTTAAACATAAAAATGTCTTTAATATATATATATATAATTATCTATTTAAAAAAATTTATAACATAAATACGTAATATGTATTTATAACATAAATGTGTAATATGTATATGTAATATGTATGTTTATGTTATAAATTTTTTAAATAAATAATCATATCTGCTCTACTTTGTATTGAGCATTCTTTTAAGAATAGCAATTGTTGGTTATTGGAATTCATTCCGTATACACCAATTCTATTTATATAATTGTATATATATATATATATATATATATATATATATATATATATATATATATATATTATATATATATATATGCCCCTGAAAAATTTATTTCGGTTGAGCTCTCTGAGGAGGAAGTGTGGGTTTGTAAACAGTGACTATTACGGCTAATAATGGCAATACTCTTCGGTAAAGCGAATTGAGTTCTCTCAGTCACCGTGTGTTTATGTCAAAATAAATACGCTTAAATTCACATTCATTCCTGCTTGGCGCCAACAGCTTATGGGTAGAATCTCCGACTGACGCCAACTCAAACGGGTTTCGATCTTAGCTAGAAGCAACCGGACGTCTAGCCACACTGATGAGTGTGGATGCCTATATATATGTGTGTGCCTTTCTGTTTAGTCAGCATTGTACCTCGCTATCTTAATCTGTTTATCAGTTTTGTCTGCCTCTTTGTCGACTTTTTTCTTTCCTTCTCGCCTTCCTTCTTATCTATCTATCTATCTATCTCTCTGTGTCTACTACCCCTCCTCCTATGCTAGTCTACCATTTTCTGTTCAGGGCCTACCTATCTATCTATCTGTCTGTATGTCTGTTCACTTTCTAGCTAGCTAGTAATTGTTGTGTCATTGAAGATGCAATAAAAACCTATTAAAATTTAGTGAAAATTAATTACTTTTGCAAAAATAAAATGAAATGACGATGGCGAACTACAAAATGAATTTTTTCTTTAATTTGTTATTAAACAAAGCGCAAATTCTTAACGAAAAACCTATTTCAACAAAAACACTTCTCGTATTACTGAAAAGTTGGAGGAGCTTAGTAAGTTAGGTTTATTTTGAATTCGTATAATAATTTAAATCAAATCCAACAGACATTTATTGCTAAAAACAAATACAAAAATATCAACTTCGTCAACACAAGAAATTTCAACAAATTCAAGAAAATAAGCTTCTAACATATATATATATATATATATATATATATATATATATATATAATATCGCATAATACAAATATATATACAGTGCTGTTCGATAAAAGTGACTCACCTGATTTTTTTTTACTTAAAAAAATTTTTCGCCTGTTGTTTTTGGGGTCAAACTAATATTTATTTTTACTAATATAAAGACCCCTTCCCGACCACCCAGTAAAAAAGTTTACTCACCCTAAGGTATTCTATTGATAATTATAATTTTGGATATAAATGAGATTTGAGGAAAAATTCTATGCAAAAAAAGTGACTCACTTATTTCCTGCAACTAGTAATCAATAGAAACATAACCGAACAGTTTTAATTAAAAATTAATAGAGGTATAATGTATTTATAATAGGTTCGAATTATTTAATAATCTATGGGTCCTCCTTTATTTTGAATAACCTTTTCAACCCTTTTTGACATTGACTTGATTAGGTTCTGGCAAATCTCATCTCCAAGCATTGAATTCCATTCGGATATGAAATTCACAATCAAATCCTCTTTGTTGCTCAACTGCTTTCTCGAGAGCCTGTACTCCAAAACCCAAAAGTTTTCTATGGGGTTGAGGTCAGGAGATTGGGGCGGCCATGTCATTACACTCACCTGCTTCTAATCAAAGTATTCCTTTATCAATTTTGATTTGTTACAGGGAGCATTATCCTGCATAAAAATGAGTTTGGTGAGGTCGATTTGCACCCTTTCAGCAGAAGGGAGCAGACAAGACTCTGAAATTCTCTTGTACTGCTCGCTCCTGAGGGTCTTTTCAATAGGTTTTAAGAAAACAGTTCCAGGAAAAGAAAAGCATCCCCAGAACATTATACTGAACGGATGCCTGACAGTACTTACTGCTAAATTCAAAGAGCTTTCAAAGCTTCTTCTTCGGATTTTAGATCGCTTATCGTTTGAATTTAGCTCAACTTTCGTTTCATCGGAGAAGAGAACATTTAGTAACGAAAATCAGGTGAGTCACTTTTATCGAACAGCACTATATATATATATATATATATATATATATATATATATATATATATATATATATATATATATAATATCGCATAATATTACAAAATGTATTGCGCGTAAAAAATCTATTTTTACACATTTTGACACCAGTTTGAGGTTAACTATTTGCCCATAGCTGGGAGCCTAACAGGTGCTACCACCCTGCATAAGGGTGGACCTGGGAGCACCAGCCACTAATAAGTGGTTCCACGCTCTTCAAAACCTCTTAATAAGAGGCCTTGCAGTCAGATTTAGTTTATCGTCTTACCCAGGATGCGGATGTAGTTTATCATGATGAAAAACTACATCCGCGTCCTTATTATCATCATACATGTAGTTTATCATCATATTTTTAATATCTTTATATTTTGAATATTTATTATATTTGAAAATTTCTCAAATACAGTGATTCATCTCCATCGCTTTTTCCCAGTGTCTCTATTTCTGTAGCTAGCACGCTCGCTCTGATTTTCTCAAACTCAACTTCCGAGTATAAGGCCACAAACACACCAGAGTTGATCTTCTCCTAGACAGTTTGCAAACCAAACTAGTTGTTCCAGTCTGATCTGCAATTTAACTCTTAACTGGTGCAAGAAGAGATGGATTTATACCTTTCCCGTGGAAATTTAGTTTTCCCGCTTTTCGAAAACTTTGAATATTATTATAGTTCTTTGAATTTTATTTTTTTCTCTCGCTGCCTCTCTCTCCCTCTTCCTCTCCCTGCCTCTCTCACCCTCTTCCTCTCTCTCTGCTTTTCTCTCTCTGCTAACTCATGTAAATGGACGTCATGTGAATTCCAGGAGGAGGGGAAAAGTTATATTCATTCCTTGCTTTAGATTTTTTTCTACTAACCTTGTTTGAAAAACATGTCGTTGCCGTTCTTCATTGTATGAATATCTTTGAAATTCAGCACTAATCCTATTCACTTATTCTCTTCTTTTTTTTCTCTCGAATTGTTGCTACCATTTCTTGATGAAATGACGTTCATTCTACCATTTTTTTTCGTTTTTTTATTTTTAATAGATGCGAAATGAGTTTCCCCACTTTGTGAAAACTTTGAATAATACTTTTTTGAATTTGAATTTTTTTCTCTCTCTCTCTCTGTGCCACCCTCTCTCTCTCTCTCTCTCTCTCTCTCTCTCTCTCTCTCTCTGCCTCTCTTTCTCTCTCTTCCTCGCTTTCTGCCTCTTTTTCTCTCTGCCTCTCTCTCTTTCTGCCTCTTTCTCTCTCTCTAGCTTTCTCTCTCTGGCTCTCTCTCTGCCTCTCTTTCTCTCTTCTTCTTTCTCTCAGCCTCTCACTCTCTCTCGCTCTCTCTCTGCCTCCCTTTCTCTCTGCTTCTTTCTCTCTGCCTCTCTCCCTCTTCCTCTCTCTCTTCCTCTCTCTCTTTGCCTCTCTTTCTCTCTCTGCCTCTCTCTCTGCCTCTTTTTCTCTCTGCCTCTCTCTCTTTCTTCCTCTTTCTCTCTGCCTCTCTCTCTCTAGCTTTCTCTCTCTGACTCTCTCTCTGCCTCTCTCTCTCTCTCTGCTTCTTTCTTTCAGCCTCTCTCTCTCTCTGCCTCTCTCCCTCTTCCTCTCTCTCTGCTTCTCTCTCTCTCGCTCTCTGCCTCTCTTTCTCTCCCTGCCTCTCTCTCCCTCTTCCTCTCTCTCTGCCTCCCTTTCTCTGCATCTCTTTCTCTCTCTGCCTCTCTCTCCTGCTTCCTCTTTCTCTCTCTCTGCCTCCCTTTCTCTGCATCTCTTTCTCTCTCTGCCTCTCTCTCCTGCTTCCTCTTTCTCTCTCTCTGCCTCTCTTTCTCTCTGCCTCTCTTTCTCTCTGCCTCTTTCTCTCTGCCTCTCTCTCACACTGTCTCTCTCTGCCACTCTCTCTCTCTGCCTCTCTCCCTCTTCCTCTCTCTCACTGCCTCTCACTGCCTCTCACCCTCTTCCTCTCTCTCTGCCTCTCCTTCTTCCTCTCTCCCTCTTCCTCTCTCTCTCTGCCACTCTCCCTCTTCCTCTCTCTCTCTCTTCCTCTCTGCTAACTCATGCAATGAGACGTCATGGATATTCCAGGTCATGCACGTGGAGTGTTCTTATTCAACAAGTGCATGCTGGCACTTAAACTAAGTTGAAACTTCATATTTAAATTTTGAACTCTGTCTGCCACGCACGTTGTTCGTGGACTTCCCGTATTCTACTTAATTGTATCTGTCTTTTTGTTTGTTGGTTTGTTTTTTGTGTGCGTGTAATAAGATTAGATAGGCTTGTCTATCGCCCGGTCAATACTCCTCCCCCTTCTCTTGAACAAGTATAGAGGCTCATCCCTTTTTTCCTATTTAGAAAGAGGTTCCCTGATCTTTTCTCTTTCTCCGTAATAGTGCTGTCGGGAATCTCTTGTGACGTGTGCGGTTTCTGGCAACGTATCTTCATACTTAGGGTACCGGATTGACAGTTCTCTGGTTGCTGTTCCCAACTGGTAGTTAGGAGTCCTAACTTATGCGTAGCGTCTTGATCAGCTGCTCTAATCGACAGTTGCATAATGTCAGGGGTGCTTGTAGTGCCATCTCACGCATGGAAGGATGTCCCTGTACGTACCTCCGGTGGGCAGCCCTAAGGCCACTTTATGTTGCAGTCTGCGCCAGCTCCTTTCTGTCCGTGTCACATATAATGACCTTCTGCTACTATTACTTTAGGCCTTTTCACTGCCAAAATGACCCAAAATGACCCAAAATGACCTTAAACCATCATAAAAATAAAACCGAAACCAGCTCTAAAAAAAATCGCCTAAACCTTTCAACATTTCTTTTTCCAACATCCTGCCTCAAAAACAAATCTAGTGTCACTGACAAAACTAACCTGGCCTGCGTCTCGAAAAGGACCTCCAATCGGTTGTGAACTGGCGCAGGAATTGGCTGGTCAACTTTAATGCCTCAAAAGCAAAACTGCTCTCTATTAATCACCACAGAGATCCTTCCCTGCCCTCCATTAGAATATCTGACGCTCAACTTCTCGAGAGCACCTCTCTGCGGCTGCTCGGTATCACGTTGACTGCTGACCTGACATGGAACAAATACATTGAGTCAATTGCTTCGTCCACCGCAAGGAAAGTTGGCTCCCTGTGCCAGGAAATTTTTCTCCCCGGAATCGATCCTTCAGATCTACAAATCAACAATTCGACCTTGCATGGAGTATTGCTGCCATATATGGTCTGGTGCCCCTTCTGTTTGCCTCGGCGTTCTTGATAGGCTCCAGAGGCAGATATGCAATATAATTGGCTCTGTTCTGGCATCTCACATACGCGCCGTCGCCTCTCTCTGTTTTTTTACAAGTACTTTCATGGTAATTGCTCCGAGGAGCTGCATTCGCTGGTTCCCAGACTTCATGAATTCAAGCGCCCTACGAGGCTGGCATCCCGCTCTCACCCTTTCATTGTTGAAACTCCTAAATGTAGCCGTCTCTTCTACTTCAATAGCTTCATGTCTCGCACCTCTCGCCTGTGGAACTCCATTCCTTATTCCTGTTTCCCTGAGAACTATAATCTCCAACTATTCAAATGTAATGTCAATCAACATCTCCAGTTGTTTTGATCTATCCACTATCCTTCTCCTCATCCTTTTCTCTATCACTCCTATCTGATTTTGCTCCAAATCTTCTGTAACGCCTTGCGCCCTAGTGGCTTCCCGCCTTGCTTGGGGTGAAACGCTAAAAAAAAAAATCCGTGGCATTCGTACCAACTTCTGCAGTGTGGAATCGGTCCTCTTTGAAAAGTCTCTTGATATACTAACTCTCTGCAAGACCAACCTTAAATCATCAATCCCTCTGCTATGATTTCTCGAGTCCCAGTTACCTCCCTCTGTTTAGAAAGGACTCTAAAATCCACATGCGTGGGCTGTGAGTTTACGCTCGAGACTATCTTCCACTTGCTAGGAAACTGTCTTGAATCTCCCGACCATCTATATATGAGTCTCCGTCTATCTCTACTCAATTCTGTTAGCTATCTCTTCTTTCTCTACCGTTCCCCTTTCTCTCAAGACTGTGGTGTACTCGACATCATTTCTGATAATATAGACAATGCCATCTCTCTACATCCGTTTGCAAATATATTCGTGTTCGGTGACTTTAACGCCCACATGGCTTAAAAACTCTATAACTGACCTCGCTGGCATACAAACCCTTAACTTATCAATCACTCAATCCCTCACACAAGTGGTTGAATTCCCTACGCGTTTTCCCAGTAACCCTGGCGGTAAGGATTCCCTTCTCGATCTCCAGTCTGTTTTACCTCTATCCCCCGACTTCTATCTGCCCTCTTGGCAACTCTGATCATGCCGTAGTGTCTCCTTCTACTCCTCCCTCAGCAAAGAACCTCCAACTAACAGAATATCTTTCTGTTATCAACGCGCAGACTGGGACTCTTTCCGTGATTTCCTTCACGACGTCCCCTGGGATGTGGTTTTTAATCTCCCCGTTCAAAAATGTGCGTCTCAAGTCTCCTCCTGGGTAAAAGCTGGAATTGAGGATTTCATCCATGCAAGAAAATACAAAGTTAAATCGCGCTCATCTACTTGGTTCACAGCCGCTTGCTCAGCTGCTATTGCCCATCGGAATCACTTCTTCTTAGAAGTGACATATTTGATCTCAACAGACGTCTCTTTGTCTCTGCCCGTAATATGTGCAAACGTGTCCTCAATGAAGCAAAGCTACTATTTGCTGGTAAAATGAAACAACGTATTGCATCTCGCGAGTTTAGTTCTAGAGATTATTGGTGGCTCTGCAAGAGCGTGCTGAGCAACAGTAAATCCTAAATACCTCTTCTATTCAATCAATTTGAGGTACTGGCTTCCTCAGCTGATAAGGCTGAATGCTTTGCACGGAAATTCTCATCGAATTCAACGCTCGACTCATCCGGAGTACCCTTACCTGATTTTCGCCCTAGGACTGAGGCTTTGTTGAATTACATAAACATAAATGCTTCGATGGTTTTGGACATCGTCTCCAAATTAGACTCCCATAAGGCTAGTGATGGGGACACAATACCAGCTGTTGTCCTGACGAAATATTCTCCTGAACTGGCCACAGACCTCTCCAAACTATATAACTGTTGCCTCGCTGAATCTTGCTTTCCAGCCTGCTGGAAGTCCTCGTCTGTTGTCCCTGTCTTTAATAACGCTGGTGATCCATCTAACTACCGTACTATAAGTCTCTTACCACTCTTCGGCAAAGTCTTCGAGGCGTTAATCAATGTCGAAGTGATTAAGCACCTTACATCCTATCATCTGCTCTCAGACAAGCAATATGGTTTCCACTCTGTCCAGTCCACCGCTGATGTGCTCACGACCATGACTGAATTTATGTACCAAGCACTTGACAATAACGGAGAAGCTCGAGTCGTAACTTTAGATATCTCTAAAGCGTTTGATAGGTTCTGATACGCTGGCCTTCTTCGTAATCTTCAGTGATACGGTAGAAAATCCAGAGACGGATATGCAACGTGGTTGGTCCTGATCTGGCATCCCGTCTGCAGTCGCTATCTTACAGACGTGCTGTGGCTTCTCTCTGTCCTTTCTACAAGTACTTTCATGGCAACAGCTCTGATAAGCTATTTTCACCGGTTCCCAAACTGCATGAATTTAAGCATCCTCCTAGGTTGGCATCTCGGTTCCACCCTTTCACTGTTGAAACGACTAAATGTAACCATATCTTCTACTCCAACAGCTTCTCATCCCGCGCCGCTCTTCAGTGAACTCTCTCCCTATCACTTGATAGCGATAATCTTCAAATATTCAAATGTAATGTCAATTGACATCTTCTGATGCCTTGACCTTGATCACTGTCCCTCTCTTTATCCTTTTCCCAATCAGTCCTCTTTACTCTTACTCTCACTCTCTGTAAGCCCTTGCGTGCCAGTGGCACTCCCGCGTTGCTTGGGGCGACTTGCTTTAAAAAAAAAAGAAGATATTTTGGCAAAATTGGATGCAACAAACTCTGCCTGAATTTTAACTTGACTCATTGATTTCTCTTTTCGAGACGCTGACCGCCATATTTAACCGCATATCTATGCATCATTACCAGTTTTACATCATTTTCGGTTACTGCTCCTTTTTAGCTGTAACTATTCGAACTTGCGACAAAGATGGCGTGTGATGGAAACAGAAGATTTAATAAGGTTAGCGATTACTTCCAGACGCTCGTCAGACATTATTGAAGGTTTTTGTCACTGTTTGCAAAAATAGGGGAAATGTTAATTTGGTTTTAAACGCAGCCATTTATAATCCATTTTCTATGTGCAAAGCGTTTGAATGACTTACTTGTCTAATAGACCCAACATTACAGAAAGAATTCTCATTGTCATTTGTGTTGAATTGCAAAAAACTCCGATAGTTAACGACGAAGGATATTAAGTGTTGTAGAGTAGTTTCGCTCTGGAGGTTTGTATTTGTACTAAGTCGGTCCTAAAATAGGTTCGACGTACAAAACATTAGGAACTTGATATAAGAGGTAATGACGCGGAGAAATCTAGTGGTGGTCGCTGATACTTTAGTATCCAACTAACGGTCGTCCGACATCGACTGACTGACCAACAGTATTTAGTCACCACCGCACGTGGGCGTCATGTGGCACAAGGCCGGTTTAACGTGAGATCTCCGAGCCCGTGGGATCGGCCAAAAATATGCTCATTGAACCCGTATGAACGGGCTTAGGGTCGGTTTACCTCCCCGAAAGAGAATCCGCCCTTCGGCGTAGCCTCTTTCGGGTTCCTCCCCGCCCGAAGGCAGAGAGTTCAACTGATCAGCCAGTCGACTGGCAATATTTATTATTGTAAAAAATACAACAAATGTAGCACAAGGCCAAAAAGGGGGTTGGGGTAAAGGACGGTCATCACTTGTCTTAATATAAAACTTAGCTAGCCACAACCACTGACCCTATCATACAAAACAATATTCCTTTCACCAAAACAACACATTTATCCATACCTTTCTTAATACATCCAGCAAAACACCTATTTGACTCAATGCAAATCCTAAATACTCCTCTTATGTATAAATATTGTCTGTGGGGGGAGGGGCATAAAAACAACAATTTTAAAAGGATCCCCAATGAGTATATACAATATGACAAAATATATTTACAAGAAACTAAATAAAAAGATGTTAGTAATAAAACCCCCCACAAACCTTAATTGTGGCAGAAATATCAGTTATGTACTGAAAGATACATGATCACCTTAGCGTGTCTCACATAGCATATAACTGACTGGATATAGTGAGGGTTAAGGAAACGACAAAAGATTAACGAGATTCAAGAAGAAAGAAGATGGCGATTGATGTTGTTTTTAAAATTTTGTAATTATCAGGGCAGCAAATAAAAGTAAAAGAGTTCCACAGGTGAGAAATGCAAGAAAAGAAAATGTTGGACTAGAAGAGAGGGTTACATTTAACTATTTCAGCATTAAGCGGGTGGGACCTAAATGCCAAATCACGTTTAAATTCATATTTAAAAAAAAGCTCGTTAGAGCATGATATATATATATATATATATATATATATATATATATATATATATATATATATATATATATATATAATCATTTCACCACAAGCAATTTGACAATGCCTCTAGAAGGTTATAGGAAGTGAAAGTGAAAGAGAAGACTGAGAATAGGGAGGACTGAGGAAAGTACAAAAGATGAACAGGATTCAAGAATATAGAAGATGGCGATTGACGTTGCGTGTAAATTTTTAAAGATTGCAGTTATCAGGAAAGTAAGTAAACGGAAGGGAGTTACGCAGCCGGGAAGTGTGAAAAAAAAAGAAACTGTTGAAGTGGCGATTGCATTTACTTATTTCATCAGTAAACGAGTGGGATCTAGATGCCATAAATATTTGTAGAAATGACAGAGGGAAGCCACGTCGGTGAGAAAGTGACTGAAGTCGAGATGCCAAGTCAGGATCGATTACATTACAGATCTTTCATTGATTTTTCTAAGAAACACAAGATGTACAACAGGAGCACCAGTCCAGATATGGCAACAGTATTCCATGCACGGACGAGGGATAGATTTGTAAATGTGTAAGATGGATTCTGACGAAAAAATTTAAACCTTTTACTTCGTTCTCGAGATTCGTATCGTGACGTCACAATATGTCAAGTGTAATTCTAATCATATATATATATATATATATATATAAGCAATACCAAGTTTGCTTCGACTATCTGATGAGGAGGGGTGTTTTCGTCAGAACTGCTTAGTCAACGTGCTATTGGCATTATACACGGTTATTTTGTCATTGTTGTCATTCCCAACTGTCTGCCGGCTACTGAATGCACCAACATTTCTTTGGTTTTAAGCTATGAAACGGTGGCCTCGCCAGCTCGACAATTTCTTTTATAGATTCCAAGAATGAGTCCAAACTCGTTCTGGAATATCTACAGACGCAGCTCTACATCTTTGCAGATCAATGGTAAAAAAAATGTCTTCCAAAACATGAAACCTGTATGGCTTAACCAGAATACAATTCATTGTCGTTTTACGTCTTACTGATGTATATTAGGGTAGACTCGTAGCGTGGCAGCTCAGATCAGACACCAGGTTCGTCGACAGGGTGTGGCTTCCTCCTGTCAGACGCTTGTGGCTTAAAAATAACACTTCGGCCAGATCGTTACCCACGAATGAAAACAATAACATTTGCTAACAGTAAACAAGATTTCATTTCCAGATTGTAACCTACTGCTATAGATGAGCGAAGCCGATATGAGGTATTAGGTGAAGGGGGATGAACAGTCTAGCGGGCATCCGCCATCCTCTGTGGGCACTAGCAACCTGTCCGGCCTTGGTCATTATTTTATAGAGGACATTGTTCATTGTTTTGTGAAAAATAATTGATCTTAATTCAGTGACGCTCTTTGTCCCAGCCACCCGCTTGTACTTGTGAAGTCCACTTCACTTACTGATAACCATCGGAGGGAAAATAAATGTCTGAATCTATTTTTGAGACAGGTCCAGCTGTTTTCCATTTAATAAAATATCAGCCGACTAATATCTCTACATCTTCTTACCCAAGCTGAAATATGTTTGGCAGGATCTGGGCAACCGAGTTGAACCGTACCCTGTCTCAGGTGGTTTGCGTATTGAAGATTTGTTTGGTTTGGTTTGGATTTCGTTTGTTTTAATTGAAATGAATCCTTAACAATTTTGGTGGTTTTTAACCACTGAGCCTAAATTATATACAAATGTAACAAATTTTTCTACCAACCGTCTGGTTTGGTTGGGTCTATTTTGTTTTACGGCATATCAACCTCAATGGGTTATTTAATGCCGACAAAATTTTTATTGCTGGTAATATCTATCTATCTATCTAGCTATCTATCTATCTAGCTATCTATCTATCTAGCTATCTATCTCAGTATACATTGGTTTGATTTGTTTTGTTTTACGGCATATCAATACAAAAATGGGTTATTTAATGCCAACAAGATTTTTATTGCTGGGAATATTTTGTATCTATCTATCTATCTATCTATCTATCTATCTATCTATCTCAGTATATATTGGTTTGGTTTGGTTTGTTTTAAAGCATATCAACCTCAATGGGTTATTTAATGCCGACAAGATTTTTATTGCTGGTAATATTTTTTCCAAAAAAATATTGTTGGTAATATTTTTTCAAAAATTTATTGCTGGTAATATTTATTTTTCCAAAATTGTATTGCTGCCAATATTTTTTTCCATAAAAGTATGTCTGGTAATAATGTATTGCTGATAATAATAATAATATCGTGATGGTTAACAAGCTGGTTTGATTTGGTTTGTTGTTTTATGGTATATCAATCTCAATGAGTTATTTAATCCCGACAAAATTTTTATTGCTGATAATATCTATCTATCTATCTATCTATCTATCTATCTATCTATCTATCTATCTCGGTATATATTGGTTTGGTTTGTTTTGTTTTACGGCATATCAATACATCAATGGGTTATTTAATGCCGACAAGATTTTTATTGCTGGTAATATTTTTTCCAAAAATGTATTGTTGGTACTATTTATTTTTTCAGAAATGTACTGCTGGTAATTTTTTTTTTTTCAGAAATGTATTGCTGGTAATATTTTTCAAAAATTGTATTGCTGCCCGTATTTTTTTTCCAAAAAAGTATGGCTGGTAATAATGTATTATATATATCGTGATGGCTAACAAGTTTGTTTGATTTGGTTTGGTTTGTTTTACGGTATATCAACCTCAATGGCTTATTTAATGCCGACAAGATTTTTATTGCTGGTAATATATTTTTTCCAGAAATGTATTGCTAGAATTTTTTTTTTTTTAAATGTATTGCTGGCAATATTTTTCCAAAAAGGTATTGCCAGTATTAAAACTTATTTTTACACTTTCATAGTGTTTTGACACCAGTTTGGGTGTTAATTATTTACCCATAGCTGGCGCACTGACAGATGCTACCACCCCAAGTCAGGGTGAACCTGGGAACACCAGCAATTAAGAGGTGGTTATACGCTTCTCAAAACCACCAGATCAGAGGCCTTGCTGTCGGATATAGTTTATTCCCAGGACGCGGATGTCGTTTATCTTCTTACGCAGGAAGCTTCAAGACTTGAAATTCTGATGAATAAATCTTATTATTGCTCAAAAAAAAAAAAAAAACACCTGTCTGGTTTCTTTTGCCTAGGCAAGTGTTTCTCAACCGGTGCGCCTGTGCGTACAAATGAATCTTGAAAGGTACGCTCCAAGTTCACGGAATTATTTTTATATTTAAAAATCTTTATTTTTAAAAAGCTAGAGACACCAAGCATGTGGTTGGTTGATATTGTTTAGCGACATGTCAATCTCTATGGGTTATTTAATGATGAAATCAAACTACAGATATTTTGTACACAATTTTATAATTTCAGGGAAAATATATGTATTTTAGATATATGCACCCTTGTGCAAATTAATTGAAACAACTGTTTTAGTTTCCTTTCTTTCATTATACGGTCAGTTTTAGACAAGAGGGTGTAATCTATTTCTATTTTTTCCGCAGATTAGATCATTAGCAGTGGTGTGCAGTAATATGAATCTATTTTCGGGTGTATGATGAAATTTGTTTGGCCTTGAAAAATATTGTGTCATCCGTGATTGCATCAGATTTTTACCACGGCCAGACACTATTGTCTCTACAGTCGATTAGTTTTCCTACGGCCATTGTCTGTGATGGACGTTACTCCAAGGAAACTTACGAAAATTGTAATACTGCACGAACATACTGGCAAGCCTTACCAGTGAGCAAATCAAAGTACTATAGACTAGTGCGGAAACTCTCCTGATTTAAATCCAATCGAGAATTTGGGATCACCCTGCAAGGAACGACTTCATGGAATGGACATACGAAGTACTAACATGAGCACTGGGTCATGTTTCATTGGAAAAATACGAAAAAAACAGTAAATAATAAAGGAATTATTTGTTTTGTTTTAATTTGCATAGGGGTGTAGTTTCTATATTTTTTTGATGCTGCATCGATTATCACGTTGCTATAAAATGTATAGCTGGTTATTTTATTATAAAAATATACTGTTAATTTTTGTTTAGGCGTTCATTATTTTCCCATAGCTAGGACCCTAACAAGTGCTACCACCTCGGAGCAGGATCGGGGAACAACAGCAATTAATAGATAGTCCCACGCTCCTCAAAACCTCAAATCTCATGATCAGATGTTTTGTTAGCGAATGGAGTTTATCGCCCTTCTCAGGACTCCCAGTGTCATGGCTTCCGTGTCTAAGTCTTTTTCTTTAGATATTTTGAACTTAATCCCTTAATCTTTAAGAAGGAATGAATAATCCTTTCCCTTTTGCCTTTGCCAAGGCAAAATCAGTCATTATCGGCCTCCCGAAAAAAAAGCAAATATTTCATGAATCCCTTTAAATGGAAACCGTGACGCTAGTTTTCTTTGCGGAGACTAAACAAAAAAAGTCCTATTTTCAAATTCCATGATTAATTTTTAAGTATTAAAATTTAAAGTAAGCCTCAGAGTTTTGTCTAAAAGAGTGCCCAGAACTAAAAAAAAAAAGCTTGATAAACGGTGGATGTTGGTACTTAGATATATACATCTCAAATGATAGTAAATTTTTGGAAGTACCTTGTACATAGATTATTTTTCTAACAAGCTTCACTAGGCTGATAGTTTGTATTTTGGTTCTTTCTGCTGTGAAGACTTAGATAAGAAAACGGAAAACAAAGAAATATTCCAT